CCCCCCCCCCCCCCCCAAATCAGCCGCAGGCAGATTGGTTGAAAAAGTAAAATTTGACAAACTTATAAGCAAATGGTGACAAACTGGACAATATCTCTGACAGTCAGTGCTACCATCTCCACACACGCACACACATTTTCAATGGAATGTGTCAGTCTCAATGAAGTCAGGATCAAGAGCCTTGATTTACATTTGTTTGCATTCTAGTCACACATTCAATTTCTTCCACTGAAGTATACTTCTATCAGTCTTTTTACAGTTCTTCTAATCAACAGGATCATGTCCCAAAAACTTAATTCCCAAATCAAACAGTTCTTTTTCTTCACCCATTTTCAGCATTAACCATACCACGTAAAGTCTCCTGTCCATTTGCTTTAAAAGCATAGTTTTTGATGGTGGTTTCCAGAGCACTCAAGTATTTAAACTTCACGGTTTTTGCCTCAAAGAAGTATTCAACTTTGTAGAAATGGAAAGATGATTTGTCATTAAATATCCATAGTAACAACAGAAAACAAAAAACATATGTTAAGGTAAAAGATGCCATTAAAAAAAAAAAAAAATCAATCATGTTTCTATTCAATTAAAGGCACAATTTTATAATACTATATTTCTTTCACCCCAGTTTGTAAACCTATATACAGAAAGCCAAGTAAAACTAGTAGCATTTGTGCAAAAAACTTATTCACGACAGAGGGGCAACAGTCAGTTTACTAGGATATGCTCTTGCATTTTAACTGCTAATAACCTACCACTGAGGCAAATCTAGATTTTACTTGGACAAATGTTTCATTAAAGCAGAGTAGAGTTTTGCCCAATAAGAACCAAGTCAAAAGAAAAAAAAATAAATCAGAATTTGGCCTTACTAGCAACAGGAAATCAGTACACATTTATACAAAATACCAGCTTTTTGTGTGTGTTTTTATGTACATCTAAACAAATCTTGTATTACTTTTTTGCAAGCGGATGAAAAGATTCACCAAATTACACTGCCATCAAAACAGTAGACAGACAAGCTTTAATCACAGTATCTCTAATAGTTTATTTTAAAAAGCATAAAGTTTTTCATTAATAAGAGTGACATTAAAAGAGTTGAAAAAGCTAACCTTTTCAATATTTATTTGGTGCTTTCTCAGCCTTTCCAGATCTGTTGGAACTGCCACTTTAATGAATTTTTGGAGGGCAGGTTCAAGACGACGAAGAGTAACTTTTTCATCATCTTCAGACATTCTAAAAATAGGTCTCAAGTCAGTAGTTGCCCAATATACCTTTTCTCATTTAGAAAACCCTAAAAAAAGAAGGATTTTTGTTTTAGGCAAAATGTGTAAATCTCATTCAATCAGATTACATCTTAATTAAACTAACCTTTAAAAATCAAAACAGTAAGAGAAATGCTCATCCTTCCCATAATGCCCCACAAATTGTTCCACAGCAAACTATTCCCAGGCACAGCATCTACACATATGCCCAGGTCAGAAGCAAATTGAGCAAGGGAATAGTGAGGAGAAATCCACCAAGAAAGCAAAATACAATTTCAGCTCTGGATGATGCGAGGCAGTATCCTGCAGTGACCATGGACGCAGATGGAGGCACATTGTTCTGTACCACCTGCAACGTGACTCTGGATGTGTTGAGGAAAAATCAAAATAGAGCAACTCATAGATTCCAAGGAGACCATGAAGCAGAACGCTGTTGCAGAGGCTGGGGGTCAGAAAAAGAAACAAGTAACCATGTCCTCACTTCTTAAAAGGATCATGGAAAACAGTTTAGCAAGGTGAGCAGCAACACTTTACCTTGTGGAGGCTTTTGCAGTGGCAAACATCCCACTGGAGAAAATTGATTGCCCTAAGTTAAGGGACTACCTAAACAAAAATGTGTCAAATGCTGGATGTTTCCCATATGTGAACAAGCTTCACCAACCCTATCTCCATACAGTGATGATTACTTTCCACATCCACAAAGTCTGCATTGGCAATGTATGAATCCATCTCTGTTGTGGCCGATGAAGCCACTGACCTTCAAGATAATTATGTCTTTCACATTTTATTTGTACCTGGGAGCTGAACAGACCAGGACTTGCTTGTTTTTCAAACAGAGCTGGTCCACCTCACATCTGTCAATTTTTCTACTATGCCTCAGGCTGTAGTGAAGGCCAGTGTCAACTACGGCTTAGAATTTACCAGAACTCAGCACTTCTGTCCAACAATGCCATGTATATGTGCAAGCTTTCTCTGATGTGCTCTGTGGAATGATGCCCAATGCAGTTCATGTCACCTGCAATTAGAGGTGCACCAATACATCTGTCCGATATCAGATCAGCACCGATATAAAGAAAATTGTCTGTATCAGAAATCAGCCTGATGTGGCCAGTAATTTGGCTGATAAATGGCCAGTGCAGCATGTAGGCAGTGAGGAGCACAGCCAGCAGCATGGAGAGCTGCATGCAGCTGTAAGTCAGTTGTGGTGGAAGGGCAGGGGTGTGGGGGGGACAGATCAAGGCCCCCAGTGAGGAGGGTGTGGGGCTGGAGCAGGCAGTATGTAGCTGGGGGGGAAAGGGGCACGGGCTTGTCCAGAGGGCATGGCTCCTGCCGCTGTGTGCAGCTCACTCAATGGCTCGTCCGCTCATTGGGCAGCTCCCACCGCTGCTCCCACTGGAGGACATGTGGGGTAGGGTGGGGTGGCGGGGCGTATGTCCCCAGATCTACGTGGGGTGGGCGGCAGCAGTGCTGGGAGGGTGCTATGAAGCAACTACAGCAATTTTTTTGGGTGGCTGCAGCCCTCCCCCATAGCCTGCTCCCAGAGCTGCCACTGCTTGCCCAGCACCACCCCAGTGCCAGCCCCAAACCACAGCTGCAGCCTGCCCTGCCCCAACCCCATGCAAATCTATTGCATATACCTCCCCCCCAATGCCTTCCTGGGATGCGCGCAGCAGCGAGAACTGCCCCCCACCCCAAATGAGTGGCGGCTCCATTCCATGCCCTGCCCCGCCCCACATGGGCAGCACCTGCCCTAGTCCCACTCCCCCCCTCACCACAAGGGGCGTTGATCTGCCCCCACCACCCCACACCTCTTCCCACACCTCTCCCCTTCCCCCACAACAGACCTACCAGCTGCATGCAGTTGTATTGGAAATCAGATCAGTATCAGCCGATATGTCCCCTTAAAAATTGGCTATCTGTATCGGCCCCAAAATTCTCTATCAGTACACCCCTACCTGCAATGTGCAAATTCTGTCTTGAGTAACTGACATCTGGTATATGCAGTTTCCTGATGTGGATAGCCTGGTTTCATCCAAGCACTGTCCAGGCTGTAAGCTCCTGTACAGGCAGTCTCATACCAGTCAAAGCAGGTACCCACAAACAACTGTGTTACTCCCACCAGAACCTGTGCTTACGAGGCAGAATTCGTGGTTCAACAGAAGTCTGTTACCACACCAAGAACATGCATTATTACCAGCAATGTGTGTCTGAGAAGCTGGAAATCACACCTGGCACACACTGCAAGTTTAAACTATGCTATCTCCTGGAACAGGGAGGCATTCTAGATCAAATGAAGTTTGTGACGAAAAATACCACTTGGTTCACAGAGCTTCTAATGTGGTTTGAAGGCTAGCAGGCGGTGTTCCACAATGCACACAGCTGATGGATTTGATAAGTTGGGCTGAAAACACAGCATCACAAGAACTGTCAAGCTGTCACCATGAAAACCAGCAGAGAAGGGACCTGTTTCAAGCAATAGCTGTGAAGTTGAACCAGTATTACACATACAACCCATCACTACTACCACCATGATTCAAACAACTGTCTGCCTCCTTCCTTAGTTCATATTTTTTACTCCAAATCAGGTGCCTTTGCTGAGTCTTGACCTTCAGCTACTGAAGTCAATCCCTGGACAGCAGAAAGAGCATGACAAGGAACAAGCTGCTTACATGAACTCTGTCAAAGAGTGCCAGATGCCTGTGACTGTGTTTTGGGAGTCTGTTTCTGATCTGTTTCCACATCTGTACACCCTTACAAAATGCCACCTCAGCATTCCAACTAACTCAGTGGCACTGAGCATGTAATCTCAGTGTAGGGACAACTGTTCACCCCACAGAGACAGAAGATGTCAGTGGCAACTGTCAGTGGATGCTGCCTGCTAGCACTTAACACAGGGGTGGGCAAAATACAGCTCACAGGCTGGATCCGGCTTGCAAGGACTCACAAACTAACTGTATCCTGCCCAGCCCAAGTGCATCGCTCCCACCCTCATGGGCAGAAGGGCCCAGCCAGCACACAGCTGCACTGGGCTAGGGATGGGACTTCTGGTCCCAAGATGGGGCACCTGTCAAGGGGCCGGGCTACCCTTGCAGACCTCAACAGCTCCTCAAAACTCATTAAGCACCCCTCCAACTGAAATAATTGCCCACCCTTGGTTTAACAGCTAACATGAACTGCCTCTCTCATGGTTAGCACTGAGTACTGCTAAACTCCTTTTTACAACTTTGACAATAAATTATGGTGATTGCATTAATTACAATTTGTGGTATGTATAGCTTTAATTTCATAAGATATTTGTGTTAGAGTCTTAATTGAACAGATCAAGGTCAGTAACATGCCCAAAACACCCACAAACTTGCCAAGACATTGGCATGCCAGGGGCAGATGGCAGGGAAGCTGTGAGCGGCTCTATCCTTGTTGTGGCAGCGCAGTCCTAGCCCCTTCCTCACTGTTCACTCTGAGGCACACGCGCCAAGTAAAAAGCCTTCACGTGCCACACTGGCAACTGTGCTAGGGTTTGCCTATCCCTGGCTTAGATTACTTAATAATGCATGCATTAATGGATTCCACAGGCTTATCAGGGCAACTATGCTGCAGTTTCAGTCGTGCAGTCAATAACACCAAGGGGTGGAACCACTCAGCCAAATCAGCGGTGATGGTGGACCCTGCCACAAAAAGGCCACAAAAATGGCAGCCATCACTGCAATACAGCCGCTAATTTGGACTTTTCAGTTGCAACGTAGGTAGACCCCCTATAGATACCCGATTAAAAAGTCACATCCTTTTTGGAGACAAGGAGATTTGAGCATATTCCTTGACTGAAACTTGTGATTATGTGCTTTCTGAATCACAGCCCAAATTTTCTAAGCATCTTAAAGTTGTAAGATATATACACTGAAAAAAAAGCACAAAGCAAATTGATGTTGACAGTTTCCAGTTCTACCTCCTTGCAATATATGACTCATTCCCCCATCTTACCAAAACTAAGCATGCCATTTACCAACTAGCTTCAACTCTGTTCTCAGTATCTGCATTGAAACTGTATCTTTGGGGCTGTTTTCTGCTCCTTTAAAAGTAGGCATACAGAAGTATATGCAACAATAGAAAATCTCTCACTAAATTAATGAAAAATTCCATTGTACTGAATATGCACAAGACACAAAAAAACCCTAATGCAGAGATTTTTTTTAAGCCTCAAAGGTCCTTTTATTCGTGTAGTTTTAGTGCTGTATAAACATAGTTTATTTAAATATTAGTATTTACTGTGCTCTCCTTTTTTAAAAGAAAACCTGGTGCTGAAAAGTTTTCCTACTGCAGGCCTATACTGAAGACATTCAACTAAAAAGGACCAGCACTGCCACACACACACACACACACACACACACACACAGTAAGTATACAAGAGAGTATATACCATTACAACTTCATTTGGAGACTTTTGCTGGTTTTGCTACATTGGTGGTATTAAGCAAGCAAATCCCTTCCAGAAGAGATTGGGCCGAGGATTGTAAAACTTTTTGTGGATAGATTATTCATTCTTTTTGTACTATGTTAAGCATACAGTTAACATGCAAATAATAATGCATTATGCCCAATGACAACATGTCAGAACGTAGGAAGAGAGTTGTTAAAAATAGCTTAAAAGCTGAATACAGGATGATTACACCAGATTTCAACTGGCTCATTTAAAAAAAAAAAAGAAAGAGGCTGCTATTCCTGGTCTGCCAGGATAAGATGTAAGAATTTCCCCTTGCCTCCAGCAAGGGAGAGAGAAAAGTCTAGTGGACTGTCATCTTTTCCCCAGGCCGACAAGGAAGCTGAAGGTACAGTTTCAGCTGGGGAAAGCAGAGGTTTCCAGAGGTGAAAATAATTCCACACGAGAGACATATTTCAATCGTCATCTTCTGTCTTATGAATGTTGGGTTACAAGAAATTTTCTTTTCATAATGAAACTAGTATAGAAAAATGTCCACCCCCCCACACTAAACAAAAACAAACAACAAAATTACACAGACAGAGATATCAGCTT